AACTGAAAATGTAGGCTTTTAAAAAAAAATTGGATTGGATTAGAGGAGAAACATGGAGAATGGGGCATCAGTGATGATGATAATATGCTGAAAAGGATAAAGTAGTCCAGAGATCACTGGTGCCCAACTAGAAAAAAACAAAAAAGTGTTATTTGGTTTATCTTTTTAGCAATTTTAGTTTCGGTTTTGTTTGTTCTGCTGAAAGCATGTACCCTACAAAGAATAGCATGTGACTATATCCCTTTCTGGATAACTTAAGTGAATGAGAGAAAGGAGAATGGATTGCACTGAAGAGAAAACAACTAAGCATTTCTTTACAATGGGAGGCTACAGAGGCCAGAAGAAAAAGGTAGTCAAATACACTGTTCTGAATAAAAAGAACAAGGAGTACTCGTGGAACCTTAGAGACTAACAAGTTTATTTGGGCATAAGCTTTCGTGGGCTAAACCCCACTTCATCGGATTCATGCAGTGGAAAATACAGTAGGAAGATGCACATACACAGAGAACATGAAAAAATAGGTGTTGCCATACCAAATCTAACGAGACTAATCAATTAAGGTGGGCTATTATCAGCAGGAGAAAAAAAAACTTTTGTAGTGATAATCAGGATGGCCCATTTCAAACAGTTGACAAGAAGGTGTGAGTAACAGTAGGGGAAAAATTAACATGGGGAAATAGTTTTTACTTTGTATAATGACCCATCCATTCCCAGTCTTTATTCAAGCCTAATTTAATGGTGGCCAGTTTGCAAATTAATTCCAGTTCTGCTGTTTCTCGTTGGAGTCTGCATGCATCCGATGAAGTGGGTTTTAGCCCACAAAAGCTTATGCCCAAATAAATTTGTTAGTCTCTAAAGTGCCACAAGTACTCCTCGTTCTTTTTGCTGATACAGACTAACACAGCTACCACTCTGAAAACTGTTCTGAATAGTTTATTCTCACTTGGAGAGTAGTAGTTTTCTTAACAATACAACATTAAAAACCAAGGATCAGTATTTTATCATTGATCCTGAGCCAGTATGTGGAAAAGTTGATTGGTTAAAAACAAACAAACAAACCTGTATGTCCTGATTCCAAGCTCTGACAATTTTGTGAAACAACAGAACTTAAATCATATTACCAATTCCAGCAATCAACTTACTTCCTTCCAACCAGACATGCTGATGTGACAGCTATCACCTTGGCTGACAGCAGGGATTGAACTAATGATCTCCAGTCTTAAAAGCATAAGTATCTACAGCTTGAGCTAAAGAGCCAAACTCTCTAGCTAGGAGCTGTAACATCCTCTGTGGATCAGGGGAACACAACACACGAGTGGGTTACACAAACAATTTTAGCCAATATCTCAGAATCTGCTGGAATTAGATATTAACACTGTGCCTATGCTATAGAAAGTGTGGAATGCAGAACTTTCAGAGAACATAAAACACTGATTTCTAGCTCCACTCTCTCTCAAGATAATGGCCCCCAAGTAATATTGAAAGGAAAATAGAGGTAACTACTTTACAGTGACCAGAATGATCATTACAATCCAATAGTCCACTATTTGCCATAGTTAGAACCAAGTGCTGGGCTTCCAAAGTAAGGGGACCTACACCATCAGTTTCTATAGAATTTAAGATTTCATTTTCAAAAATTTGACACACTTGGGGATGCTCTGGACAGCTATCCCATAACAGAGCATAGAGTACTGCTGAGATACCTTTCCAAACATGAACCACAGATAAGCCAGTGTCACGTTACTTGTTAGAGCCTGCAGACTTCAATTTCTTTGCTGCTACACAGAGCTTTTCAAAGCAGCTGCAGAGTGAAATTCAGATGTTGCCTGTACTACAACTCCCCTCTCCACCTCTGGAATGTAAATGGTTGTTGATATTCTATTTAAAATGCTTGCGTGCACTAGTTATTGTGCTGGCCCACTCTGTAGCACCCTGATAAGGGGCTAGGCTAGCAAACAGTTGTCATCTTACCATAACCAGGAAGCACATGCTTATTTTGCACTATATTGACTGGCATGGCATGACTCATTCTTACCATAGAGTAGAAAAGATATCCCAGGATGCACTTTTGCATGTGGTGCTGATGCCCCTATCTGTGAATGTCCTCAGGGAACTCTGTGCCCTGTAGAAGTATTTATTATGGGTTACCTTCCCAGATTTTCCCAAAATACGCCAGCTATCCTATTCAATTAATGTGTATGGTAGCATTAAAGAGCTATGGTCCAGCCTTGGTTTTGTAGCAGAAAAACTGCAGAGGACAACTCAGACCTCATCTCATCTTGTTGACAAAAAAACAACAGCTGTACCTGTAGGCCTTGTTTCCACTAGCATTTCTCATCAGCTTTCTCATCATCGCATAGCCACTGGTGCAGCTTCAGTGGCCACAGCAATGGTGCGAATGCTAGGATGGCCTTGCTGCTGGTGCTTTTATCGCCACCTTGTCTAACACTGTTCAGAGCAGATCTGGATGATGTGGTGGTTAAAACAGAGGTTGCCAGAAGCTTCCAAACTACATTAATGCCCCACATTGCTGCCACAGGTGGAGCTGAGCTGTGGCAGTTTACTGGTGGAAAGCTTGAAGAAAAATGTTAGTGTAGTGTACATGTGGGCTAACAGGATCAGTTAGTTTCATAGCTGCTATTCAGAACTTGGTGGGTTGCAGTGAAATGGTCAAAGATCACTCCGCTTTCAATCTGCTGCTGCTGCTCAAGAAGGCTACACAGAGCAGCAGAGGCAGGCACTGAAGTTATTCATGAGAGGACCCAACAAACAGAGGCTGGGAGAGCGACAGACACTCTCCATCCTAAACAGCAGCCAAGATTTTCCATGGGAGGGACAGTTGATAGTTTCACCTCAAGGATACATAGCAACCAGGAGGTCCAGAGAGGAGAAAAGATGCTACCACAGGCCTTTAGTGGTAGCATCCTTGCCCCAAACTCTCACATCTGGTTACTAGGAGTCCAGTAAATTTTTCAGCCCTGGTTCACAAGGCATCAGAACTTAAAGTCTGATAAAAGCAACAGCTGGTTAAAAATGCAGCAACCTGCTTTTGAGCCCACACAACCACGTCACCTTGGGACTCTGCACATTTCACTGGCTCCCCATGAGATACAGATCAAATTCAAATTTCTGACCTTGACATTTAAAGCCCTCAGTGGGCCAGGCCTGGACAACCTCAGCGATCAAGAGCCACTAAATCTATTATACTCATTAGAAACAATGAAAACATCAATGGCTGAAATTCACAAAAGAGGGGGAAGAGCTGTCAGAAGCCAGCCCTCAGACATGGAGCTCCATGCTCTGGATTGGATTGCAGAACATGCCACAGTTAGGACAAAATACAAAACTCCCCCTCTAGAAGCTAGAATTCCCAAAAGTAAGATGTGCCAAAGCCTAAGAACTCTAACACTTACTAACACAAGGAGACAGACCCTCTGTCAGGAAACCACTTATTTAATGTAATTGTTGTACACTCAGATACCAGCCTGATGAACATAGGACACATTAGATGCCATTGGCCCCTCAGAATTATAGTGATATTTTGGTACTGATCTAGGACTAAATATTATTAAGTCTTGGACACTAGACTAATAATACAAAACAATCCCTGTTCTTCTCATTCATCCCCACTAAGGACTACAGTTTAAATGCTAGAGAGGCACAGCTGCACAGTTGCAGCTGTGCAACTGTAGAGCTTCCCGATGGCTTATGTAATTCATCTCCCTGAGAGGCAGTAGCTATGTCAACGGAAGAATTATTCTGTCGACCTAGCGCTGTCTACGTGGGTACTTAGGTTGGTTTAACTATGGTGCCCAGAGGTATGGATTTTTCACTCGACTAAGGTAGTTAAAGCAACCTAATTTTCTAGTATAGACCAGGCCTAAATATAATCAATTCCTATCCAACTTTTATCTACATAGGTCCCGACCCATCACTATCGTATCCGAACATCTTGCAAAAAAGTAATGAATTTACTGTAATACCTCCTCCTGTTACGTACAGAAATACTCTTCTCCCAATTTTAAAGACGGGGAATAAAGAGGGAGAGAGTCTTGCCCAAGCCTTGCAGGAAGTCTGTGGTAGATCTGATAATTGAACCCAGATATACTGAGACCCCATCCAGTGCCTTAGGGCTTGTCTGCACTTGAAACACTACATCAGCATTGCTATAGTGCTCATTGTAGACACTCATTACACTGACGAGTGGGGTTCTCAGTCAGCTTAGTTAATCCACCTCCCAAGGGGCAGTAGCTAGGTCGAAAGAAGAATTCTTCCGTTGACCTAGTGCTGTCTACCCCAGGGGCTATTCCAACTTAACAACGTCACTCAGGGATGTGGATTTTTCACACCCCTGAGTGACGTAGCTGGGTTGACTCAACTTTTGAGTGTAGATGTGGCTTCTGCTACACCATCCTTCCTCTCTGCACGCAGGGCTTAAGACTTTTGGGAAAGGTAAGCAATCCAATTCTTTGGGATACACCCTACACCCAGACACATTTTGTCTCATGCTTGTTTGTACCTGCATACAGTGGGGGGGGGGGGGGAAGGGGAGTAAGGACAGCCACCAGTCAGTGGATATTGACCCCAGCTGCCATGGGACCTTTAATAATCTGACCCATGTCAATTGACTGGGGCCAGGAAATAAAGACCAATCTCTTCCCAGCACTGCTGTGTCTCAAGCCCTTTTTGTTGTGAGTATAAGGAATCCAGCAGGCCGCCCCTTAAGGCTCCATTGCCAGGGCTAGGGGCTTCCCTGTTTGGAGAGGTGAGGGTTGCCCGTTTCCTGGCACCCCCTCCCCCAAGGCCGGTTGAGAAGACCTGCCTGGAGAGAAAGCTGCACCTCGAAGGGAGCCACCTGGCCACATTTCCTTCCTGCAGGGACCCCCGTGCAATGCAGGGGAGGCACCCCTGGATCTGCAGCCCCGGCCGGACGGCGCCAGGCCAGTGCCCGAGCCAGGCCGGGGGGCTCGCTCGGCTGCTCCCCCAGCCCCTGCGCTCACCCTTCTTCTTGGTGAGCATGGCCACGATGGGGATGCTGGGCCGGTCGCTGAACACCTCGGCCTGGCTGACCAGCGCCTCCCGCACCGCCTCGAAGTCGCTGAGCACGATCATGGGGCGGCTGCCCACGAAGAGGCAGAAGACGCTGCCGTAGACCTTGGCCATGCCGGTCAGGAGCAGGTGCGGGGCGAGCGGCCGGGAGCCCCCCTGCCCGGCCCGCTCACTCAGTAGCCACCTCTTCCGCAGCGGGCCGGGCAGCAGCGCGAAGCCGAAGTTGCCCACGAGCGGCCAGGGGCTGGGGCCGGGCGGGAGCCCCCGGGGCGGGCGGCTCAGCAGCCAGTAGAGCCCCAGCAAGAGCCCGGCGGCCGCCAGCAGCGCGCAGCAAACGGGGTCCCGCAGCGGCCAGGACCAGCCCGCCAGCCCCGCACAGGCCATCCCGCCCTGGCAGCGCAGCCTCTGCACGGCCGCTACATCCCCGAGGCGCCCGGCCCGCCTCGCCTCCTGGGATTGGCTGCTGCCGGCCGGGGGGGGG